AATTTGAGATTTCCATTGAGATTTGATGCTTTTGGAGGCTTTTGGATGGAGATGTCTATTGAAAATTTGGAGATTTCCATTGAGATTTGATGCTTTTGGAGGCTTTTGGATGGAGATTTCTATTGAAAATTTGAAGATTTCCATTGAGATTTGATGCTTTTGGAGGCTTTTGGATGGAGATTTCTATTGAAATTTTGAAGATTTCCATTGAGATTTGATGCTTTTGGAGGCTTTTGGATGGAGATGTCTATTGAAAATTTGGAGAGTTCCATTGAGATTTGATGCTTTTGGAGGCTTTTGGATGGAGATTTCTATTGAAAATTTGGAGATTTCCATTGAGATTTGATGCTTTTGGAGGCTTTTGGATGGAGATTTCTATTGAAAATTTGAAGATTTCCATTGAGATTTGATGCTTTTGGAGGCTTTGGGATGGAGATTTCTATTGAAAATTTGGAGATTTCCATTGAGTTTTGATGCTTTTGGAGGCTTTTGGATGGAGATGTCTATTGAAAATTTGGAGATTTCCATTGAGATTTGATGCTTTTGGATGTTTTTTTCATTGTGTGTGTGCTTTGCTGGCTAGTGTTTGCCTCTTCCCCACCCCCCTGTCCTGAAAGGTGCTCCCAATTCTTTGGAAGATCTGGTCCTGGAACAAGGCTCTTTGAATGCGCCTCTTTGCTCCAGTAGTACTTCAAAGCCTTGCCTGGGTGACACTCCAAGCATCCACTGTTCCATCTGCACTTGGAACAGATGTTTCCCTTTGAAAGGGTGCCTTCAATCTTGTACCTTGAAGCCTCACTCAGCTGTTGCAGCTTGAAGTACTTGCTATTGGCTTCAAGCATCTGCTGGGCTTTAATGGCTGCAGCACTGGTATGGCTCTTCAATTTGGAAAGCTGCTGCAAGGCTTTCTCCTTGGCTTTCTCTTGCTGGACTGAAATTTTCTCTGCCTTCTCTTCAAGTTCCTTCTTGCTTTCTTCAAGCTTTTGCTTCTCTGCTGAAAGCTGGTGCCACCAAGCTACAAACTTCATCCTCAAGAAGTTAATGTTTGGGTGTCCTCTGGAAGCCAAGCCTTCAAACAAGCTGCAAGCCTCTTCCATCATGTATGCAAGAGTCCAAAGCCCACATGTGCTTCCAACTTGCTGGAAAGAGTTGTAAATCTTCAAAGAAACCTCTTCCTTCTGCAAAAGGCTGGCTATACTGCAAGCCTTCTTCAAGGAATCTTCTACTGGGTCTGCCAAGGTATCCCTGTACCTAAAAGACCACTTCCCTTCAACCCTCTCAGCTGTAAGCAGAGTCCAATGACAAATTGTCTTTGCACTCCAAATTGGACAAAGAAGCACCCGCGAATCTGATTCCCCAAAGTCTTGAATGGTCTTCTTCAACAGCTCTCTTTGTGGAACATCCTCATCTCTCAAATACATTGTTGTCAAATAAGGGTCTATGAAGGCCACCTCCTTCAAGTAGTCCTTGAACTGCCACCTCAAAAGCTCAAAGCCAAGCAGCATATGCTGAGAATCAAAGTTCTCATCCTGACTTGGAAGGTCCATCAAATCATCACCCGCGCTTGCAAAGGGCTCTGGCTTCAAGCCAATCATGTAAAGGGCTTCACCTTTACTTTTTCTAGAAAGCTTGCTGAAAGGCTGCCACTCCTTCACTGGAAGCCATGTGTCTTGCTTGACAAGAAGACTTGAAACCTTGCAAGTCACAACTGTGTGCTTGTCTCCAATGAGCTGGCAAAACTCACCCCCATCTTTCTCCAAGCTCTTCACTTCAACCATCCCTTCTTTCCCATACTTCCCTTTCCCTTCACTCTCTGAAACAATTCTACAATGAACTGTCTCCCCAGAAGCTTCAACAACTGCATCCAGCTCTGTCTTCTTCTTCAAATCCTTCAAGGCTGCTGGAATGCTCTTGTCTGCCTCCTGCTTTGCCTTGCTTTTCTTGAGACTTTTCAAAGCTGCTTTCTTGAAAATGGATGGCTTTGTCTTTGCACCAGGCTTGAAGATGGCTGAAATCTTCTTCTTGCTTGCATTGCTCTTGGCAACCACCTGTTCAATTGCTTCCTTCTTGCTCATTCCTTTAAGCTTCTCTCTAAGAGCCTTCAACAAACCAGGCCTCAAACTTGCCCTTTGCTGGAGTCTTGCAGCTTTTTCCTTGGACTTCTCAAGTACTTCTGAAAACTTTGCATCTTTCTGAGCTAAAAAAGCTGCTTTCCTCACCTTTGGGTGAAGCCTCAAAAACAAGGAATTCTTCAAACCAAACCCCAGAGACTCTTCAATGGAATCATCAATGTCTAGGGGATTCTCTTCCTCATCTTCAAGGGCTGGGTTTGTGTAAGCAGCCCAGTCTAGAAGGTTCTGAACATTGGTTGCTGCCTGGCTCAAAGAGAACTCTGGCGCCATTGGAATGCCAGCCTGCAACCAGCCCTTTCTGGGAACCAACCATTCACTTGGAATCCTGTGGCTCCCAAGCTCCAACTGTTCAAGACCACAATCCTTTGCTTCAAGTGGCTGCAAAGTACCATTGTTGAAGTCTGGCCTATAAATGACAAGTGCATTTCTGAAGGCTCCTCTAATCACCCATGAAGTCTCCAAGTTTCTCTTGACTGCAGCCTCCTGGGCTTGAAGGGTGGCTTCAATCACTGTCCTGTAGGAAATCTTGAAAGTGCCCTCCTTGCCTTCAAGCCTGTGAGAACTCCTCTTCTCTGCAAGAGCCTTTCTGAAATCAGCCTTGAAGGCTCTGGCAAAATCTGTGTCTGTCAGCTGCAACCTTTGGGTTGTCTTGCCTAAAAGAATTGCTGACAGTTGGTTTCCAAGGGCCTGGGTTTCTCTAATCTCCTCTGAAAAAATGGCTGCAAAGCTATCTCTAATCCAGACTGCAAGTGGTTCTTTTTCAATCTGGTCTTCAATCACCCACTTCAAAAGAACACTGTCAAGGTTGCAGGAAGGCTGACTCATAATGTCCAGCTTGCCTTCAAATAGCTCAGGAGCTTCCTTCCTCAAATCAACAGCCCACTTCAATGCCTTTGAAGCCTCACCTGCCTTGTGAACAATCTTGCAACCTGCAACTTCAAACTCTTCACTTTTAATCCACCTGCCATTGCTGTCAAGGTTTGACAGCCTTGCATGCACCCCTGGAAAAACCAGTAGTCCAGCAGCAACCTCCCCTCTAACACCATCACTCCCAACTGGCAAGCCTACAATTCTTTGGCGCGCCTCATAAGTGATTCTAAACTTGGAATTCTCTGCAACCCCCTTGGCAGTCAAACTTCCTGCAATCCTCCTGCCACCTGCAAACTTTTCTGTGCCTTCCAAGGTCACCACCTGGCTGGAAGCATCTTCTGGCTTGAAGAAATCAACAGCTTGAAGCAGGTCTTTCCTGAACAGATCAAACTGCTTCCTGTCTGCAACTGTGATGCCTGAAAGTTCTTCGCTAGAAGCCACCATCTTTGAACTCTCAGCTTTGGCCCAAAGTGGGACCTGGTCTGAAAAGCCAATGGTCAGCAATTCCCTAACTCCAGGCTTCAACACATCCTTGGGCTCTGCAAAGAGATCAGACTTCAAGAGGTCTGCCTCAGGGGCTGCACCTGCAAGCCACACCATTCTGTCAATGGCTTGCCAAGACAATTGAACACGCGTTTTCTCTTCAAGTGCACTCAAAGGGCTTACCAACTCCTTGCCAACTTCCTTTGCACCACAGTACTCTAAAAGCCTGCTGGAGAAAGACTGCCTGTACTTCTTGCTGGCTAGAAGCTTGTCCCTTCTGGCAAAGCAGGCCTTGGCTTCAAGGTTCCAAGACTTCTTCTGGCCCTCACTCTTTGAAAGCTCTGCTTGCTTCAAACATTCTTGGGCTGAAGAAATCAGTTGTGCTAGAAACTCATCCAGAAGGTCACCCTTTGCAAGCACAACTCCATTGGACCTCTCCTTCGAAACCATTTCTTTGACCTTGTCAATCTCCTTCTGAAACTCCAACTTTCTGCCTGCGCCCTTTGCCCTGACAAACCTTGACCCTACAACTCTGCCTCTCTTTGTCTTCAACTTTGACCTTTGACCTTCAAACTCTTTCTTTTTGGACATGAGGTGCTTCAAGGTCCTGGTGTCTAGGCCATATCTGGACCTGCCTTTCTTGAAGAGCTCTCTGCTGTTGGAAGATTCCTTTTGCATATGCTCCAAGTCCTCTGCAATCTTGACTTTCTCTACAACTGAGAACTCCTTTCTCTTTGAAGGCATCCCAGCTCTTCTCCTGTTACTCTTCAATCCAGCAGTGCTGTACTCTTCAACATGTGGTCTACCTCCAAGTTTTCCTAGCTCAACAGCACTTGGAACAATAGCCTTCTCTGCCTCTAAATCCTCCACTGCCTTCAATCTCTTGACATATTGCTGCTTCAACTCATCAAGCTCAAGCTCTCTAATAGATCTCTTTCTTTCTTTCCCTAAAATCTTTCTCTCCAAAACAGGTCTTGCTTCTGCCTGCTCTTTTGGACTGCCAAAAAACTTCTCCAAACCAAATTGTGACAAAGGGGATTTGCCACTGGAATTGGAACCCTGGCTCTCTTCAAGACATTCTCTGCTGGAAGCTGGACTCTTGAAGGTTGATGTTGGTCTATCTGGTGTCTTGAACTGGTCTGAAAGCTTTCTTTGAACCACTGCTGGAGCAGAAGTCTTCTCTGCAGCCTGCTTCAAAATCTGTTCTGCCTTCAACTGTGCTTCCCTCAAAATTTGATCTGCCTTTCTTTGTGCTTCTGCAATCAGGTCTGGTTCTTCAAAGCCCTCCATCTGCTAAGGAGGAGTGGTTGTAAAAAAGGAGATTACCTTTCATGAATGTATCTAACTATATAAATAAGATGTAACCTGATAGTTGCCTGACATTATTTAGGGGGGGCCCCTAGAATAATGTCTAGAGATTTGAGGCTTTAAATCTTTATTCCTTTTCTTCGCCTTTTGATTTGCTTTACTCACCCTCTATTCCTTATTTACTTTTCCTAAGCTCTTTAGTTGTGAAGCTTTCCAAAAGTTTCCAAAAGTCAGTGCGCACTTTCTTTATAAAATCCCTTATTTAAAAGTATTGAAAAACAAAAAATCATTCAAGCAAAGGGGGTAGTCCAGCAAGCAGCTTTCTGACATTATTTAGGGGGGGGCCCTAGAATAATGTCTAGAGATTTGGAGGCTTCAACAATAATGCCAGGCAGTTCACAATATCTAAGGTATTTACCTTGCTGGTGATAGTGTGTGTTGACTTGTAGATATGTGTTTTGTGTGTTTTTATCATAGTATATACATATATATATATATGCACAATTGCAAACTGACACACGCGCAGCAACATTTGCTAAAAGCTCCAAGCCTTGCACTGCAAAGTCTTGATGACTTCAAGCTTCAAAGATTCTCCAAGCTTGACTGCACTCTTGCTAAAAGCTACCCCCTGCACTCTCCAACTTGAAGAAGACTTCAAGCCAAGACCCTTCACACCCTTTCTTTTCCAAGACCCTTCAAACCCTGTGACTCTTCAAAGACTCTTCAAGCCCTTGCACTCCAACCCCCCAGTCTTTTCAGCAGCTGCAAGTTCAGCTGAAAGTGCATGTGCAAGCTGGATGGCTTCAAAGACAATGCGCACTGAAAGCAAAACCTCAAAAGGCAAACTCTGAAAGCAGCTCTACCTGCAATGTGGTGTGCTAATGTCCTGATTTGCTTGTTGAACAGCCAAGCTAACCAACTAAAAGAAACCTCAAACCCTTTGAGAACACTGAAACCTCAAACCATTTGATCAACAATGATCATTGCTAACATGCTGCTACAAAGGGATTCTTTCAAAAGACCTTGAAGCTTGGCTCTTCAAACTGCACAGGAAGCAACACCTGCAAGGAGCCAACCTGAAAGATGGATGCCTTGAAGCCAATCAAAACGCGCAAACTCAAAGCAGCTCTACAAGGTGTGCTGATGTCCTTGAATGCTTCTTGAAGAGCCAGCTACAAACAAAACTGAACATCAAGACTGCAAAAGGAAACCCTTGCACACATGAAACCTTCAATCTTTCTTGGCTCTTCAATCTGCAAAGGAAGCATCACCTGAAAAGGAGCCAGCCCTGAAAGGATTGCTGCCCACTCCAACCAATTACTCATCTTCAAACCTCCCCCAAATACCAAACCTGTTTGGATGAAATCCCATCCAATGAATCCATACAATTTGGGATACATAGTCTAATGTGAGGGCTTCCATGTAAAGACTCCAAATTCCCATGTCTCTTGAAATCCTTTGCACAAAGTGGGATCTCCAACAATCTTGTTCCCACTCAAGTACCTTGTTTTCAAGGTCTTCAATCTCAGCTGAGCTCAATTGATACCACTGCCACCTGATGGGTTTTGGATAGAAGAATGATCTTGCTGAAAAAAACTATTGGATCCCTAAGTATTTGGTTGAGCCCTTGAACAACACTAGAACCATTTTCTTAACCCCCACCTGTTGTTGCGCAAACACCATCTGTAAACAGTGGTCTGGAAGCCACCATCTGCAGAGGTCAGAAATGAAATTGAAATCCATAGCCATCCATGGCATCCAACATAGTTCACTACAACCATTGGGCCTCTAAGCAAAGCACACCTTCTACTTTTGAACACTGAAATGACTACAAACAGGCCAGCAATCCTGATTCCTTAATTGCAAAACTCTGGAAGTCTTGAAGATGCACCCCCTTGAAGATGCACCCCTGAAGCTCAAATTGAACAAGTCTTGAATGAGCCCTGAAAAGATTGATACCTTTAAGGTTGGAGGTTGGATTGATATCTGGAAACTGTTGCAAGTGAACTGCAAATGCTCTGCAAAGACTTTCTGACTTCCTGCAATCAGCACTGCAACCAGCTCTTCAATCTGCTGGCTTCGACACAGCCTTCAAAGCTGGTGGCTTCAAGCCCTTGGGGTCTGCAATTGAGTCCCCACTGGAAGCGCCCTTGCTGGAAGGTCCCTTCCAACCACTCACCATCTCTTTAATCATCTCCACCTGAGATGCACAAACCATTGAAAACAAAGTAAACTGGACAGCTGGAACACCTGAAAGCTAAGCCCAATGAGACTAACTTAGAAAAGCACATTAGAAAAAGCAAAGTTGAAACTGAACATATCCAAGATACTTGAAGGCCAGTGTTCCAATCTGGAAGAGGCTCCACCTCTGGAAGCACAGCCAGCTTCTGCCAATCCAGGCCCAGGGCAGCAGCTTTGGCCCTTAGTCATGAATACTCCAAGCTTCAACTTCAACTCTTTAAGAAAAGGTTTGAACTGATCAAATTCCAAGTACGCGCAAACTCAAAGCACAAAGGAACCAGTTACATAAATGGTCAAGCTCCAAGTTTCTCAGCATCTTGCAACCTGGTCTGCCTGTAATTGGTGATCTCAGGCAACGCAGACCATGGACTGCAAGCAGCTTGAAGCTCTGAAAGGGGCCTGTCCTGAAATGGGGCTGCTCTCAACTCAACCAGGTAACACCAAATATAAAAGGTCCAAGTAACACACCAAAAATATAGCCAATTCCAACCAAGGCTCTGCAAGGAACTTCACAAGGCTGATCTCTGGTCTGCAAGTGTTCTGCAAGACCTTCAAATCCTCCAACTGCTCTGCAACTGGCTGCTCCTCTCCAACACTTGCCTGTTCATGGCTTCATGGCTGAAAGAGATGATTGAACTATGGCTTGGGAATGGAAGCTCATGAAAACATAAAACAACTAGAAAACATGCTAAATACAGCCAGGGTGCGTACTGGAACCTCTTGTAAAAGATGTCGTTTTGCAGCCCAGTGCAGGATTCATGCACCATGAGGTCCCACTCAGCCCTTGGCTTCAACCATTGAGGGTTCAAATGAAGCTTGCAAAGACAATCAACATACTTCAAAACATTAAAAAAAACTTGAACTAAAAAGGGCAAAGGCTCATATAGGCCTCACAAGAGGAGCCATTGAATGGTGGGCGCATATCCAGCAAGCCACTTTTGAACAGCTGGGCAGCTCCCTTGCCTTAGTTGCTGAAAACCTGAAGCAAATACAAGGATAAAATCTATAATTGCCAGTGCTCTCTAACAACCTTCAGATTCTGGTGGCTGTTTGCTTCAAAACTTGAGATTGCTTAAAAACACAAAGCTTCCTAAAGAAAAAGCAGGCTGCTGGGGTCAAAAGAGAGCAGATGCTGCTGCAGGTGCCTTATGGTGTCTTGGCATTTCCCACTGGCGCTGTCCTGTCCTTGGCTGTGAATCTGAAAGCTCTTTAAGTAAACTTGTATTCAGCCCTTCAAGGAAAAACTACAAAGGGATACTGGCAATCCATCTGAAGTGCTGCTTTCAATATAGCAGACCTTCTGGCCAATGTAGTTGGTGTTCCTGGAAATGAACCCAACTTCCTCCAAGGTCTCTTCAACCTTCTCCTTCAATCCATGGAGCTTGAAGACACCAAAGCACACTGCAAATAGGTGCGCCTGAGCTTTGCACACTGAATGCTACTTGCAAGCTTTCTTCAAAAAACATACAAGCCATTGCAAAACAAAGACTTACTGTATATACTTTAATATGTAGCCCAGCTTCAATCTGCAAAGCCACCTGCAAGGCATCTGCAAAGCCAGCCCAGTTCTGGAAGTGAGGTGAAAGGAGCTGGAAGTGGCCAATGCCTTTAAAAGCTTTCAATGATTCTTGAAACAAAGAACTAGCTCTTTCAATGGTGCCAAAGAATCTTCAAACACCAGTTTGCCAAATAACTCCAAGCTGCCAACTCCAACCAGCCAAGCTGTAAGGATCACTGCAAGGTGGCCTAGAAGCCACCCAAGCATCTCCAAGGCAGCCTGGAAGCCCTCAAAGATCTTCACCAAGAAGCTGCTCAAAGCCATGGCCTGAACAAGCTCCCCAAATGAATCTAAAAAGGAAGCCTTCAAAAAAGAAACCTTTGGACCAATTGAAACACCAAAGAATTGTAGTCTAATGTCATTCAAGGTGCTGCAAATCCCAGGCTGAAAGCCACGCGCTGCAAGGCCCACTTGAAAAGCTGAAAGCTGCTGTTGCTGCAAGCTTCAACTGAATGCTGCAAGCTGCAAACCCCTCCAAATCCATTCTTCAAGCTGCAAGCCCTTGCAAAACAGACTTCAAGTGAATGCTGCACTGCAAGTTGCAACTCCCTCAAAAAGAAACTTCAAAGTGCTTCAAAGTGCACCCTTGCAAAGCCCTTCAAACTGCAAGCTCCAACCCAGGACTCCAACCCCTTCTAACAAAGTATTCCTTCAAGCTGCCAAACCTAGAACCTTTTTGGACACCCAAGCTCAAACTAAGGGTGCGCTTCAAGCTTTCTTCAAGCTTTCTGCAATCTAGAAATGACACCCCTCCAAGCTTTCTTCAACTCTTCTTCAATCTTTCTTTGAAGCCTTTTCTTCCTTCTTAAAAGGATTTGCCTTCAACATCTCCACCACTGTGTTTCCTGCAAGCAAGTGGGGGGGGGGGGTTGAAGCTGGAAGGAAAGGCTCAAAGGCTTCAATATTCCAGATTCTAAAGTGCTACAACTCATTGAACATCTCTCAATCCCCCCTTCCAATGCTGTTGCTGTTGCTGTTGCTGCTTCAGATGTCCATTGAAATTTTGGAGATTTCCATTGAGATTGGATGCCTTTTGATGGAGATTTCCATTAAACA